ACCCCCCTCGTACCCCACGTGCCCCATTGGGGGCGGGGGGTCGTAACCCCTCTCAAAAGATAAGTTTTTTGAAAAATCGTTTCGCGTGTTCCGGTGATTATCGAAACACTAAATTTTTTTAATGTTTCTGAGTCAAAAATCTTCAAAACTGAAATTTCCCCTCAAAAGTGAACGCAGCGCCCTCTATGTGTAGTGTTTTGGATTCACCTCGAAAAGACCTTTCAAATGAGCCCCCACTTGACCTATGTTGCTATTTAATATTTTCGACCCCCCTCGTGCCCCACGTGCCCCATTGGGGGCGGAGGGTCGCTACTCCTCTCAAAAGATAGATTTTTTGAAAAATCGTTTCACGTGTTTCGGCGTTTTTTCAAAAAAATTTTTTTTTTCAAGTTATTCACCCGGTCCGTATCCCGCCAAGCCGGCACGGCAGGCGGCGAGCAATTCGCGCTTTGTCGCCGGCGGTTGTTCATTGGATTCTATTTCGAATACAGGCACAACAAAGACTACACCATGCTTGGGCAGTCTATGGTGCACCATCTCCATGAAGCCGGAAGCCAGCCGCGCGCTCGGTAACAGCTCGATATCTGACACAAGCACGCGGGATGTGTTCGCCATCGTTCTCGCTACATTCCGGGTGACGTTGATGGGATATGTCATTCTCCTCTTCCGCCTCTCGGTTTCGGCCTGTCGCCATTGGAGATCAGAGGCAGCGCAATCACCCTGGATACGACTGATTGCACTCAGGGCGGGCGGTCGACCGGCCGGAAACACCAGGTGGACGGAAACCTGCAATTGCAGGGTCATTAAATAAAAAGGATTACAATGAATGCGAATTTTATGTATATCGTATAATATACGAGAAAAGGGCGGAAGGATAACAGAAGACATGATATTATGTTCAAAATACATACAGGTAAAAAAAAGAAAATGATATATCAAAAATGTTATAAATATATTATACATTGATCACAAAATCATAAGGATAAGGTATTCTGAACAGACTTTTATATTGAGCTAATTAGGTCGAAGAGTAGCGGTATTCACACGAATTAATAAATATCTGATTGTTAAAGTCATTGAATAACAGATCATAACAGATCATAAATTTTGAAATAATCATTTATGTTGTATTAAACTTTTATCTTTATAGATTTATTAGAGATATTTTGTATCATTTATGATATATTAATTAGATAAGCCGTTTTTTTTCATAAAATACGGACAAGTATATGTGATACTTCTACGATTTACAATTTATATATTCTTAATCGGTTTTAATAATTTTAATTAGACAATTTGTATTCTGTATTATAGATTAGAACAACTATGCTAATCGCAAGCAAGCATTTTGATATAACGCGTCTATCTTCATGCTTTCACACAACATACTTTCATATTAGTTTCTTTGTCCACCGCATGTCACATGAATAATTTTGCGTTACATCTAGAAAATTATTTTAACGTAAGAAATGTACAGCATTAAATAAAAATCGACCGATGAAATTAAAACACATAAATATGTAAGAAACATAAAATAAGAAAGCTAAACTTAAATTATGTGCCCTCCGTGTACACAATACTATGCCTTATACATTACATTTAAGCAAACTACCTACAATAATAAGATTTAATTTTAATTAAATGACTAACAAAGAAACTTTATCTACAAAAAATTTATCTTGTATACGATAATAAAGTGTAATTTTTTTTTTACGTATATAAGTGACCTAAAAGCGCAGATTCCCGAGTTCTCGCATTACTATAACGAAAGCATGAAAACTTTGAGGGTCGATAGAGCGTAGCATTGTACTAATTGGTAAGAAATTCGCGATCGTGACAAGGAAGTTGAGAAGACCTTGTACATGGCAGGCTCGCAACGACAGGCTCGATCAAGCTGAACGACAGCGAGGCCGGCGTCGAGGCCTGGTGCAAATATCGCCAGGCTAAGCGGTCCTTCCCATCGTCTGGCGAGTTCCACGATTCCGTAAACCTGATCGGCGGTGGCGTGTGTGGACAGCGTGACTTGGGGCAAACTGTCTGTCGCTTCAACGGCACCGAGCAACACGAATGGTAGAACCCTGCACGGAGAAAAAGAATTCTCGCTGTCGCAGCAAAATCATCGCATGATACATTCAATGCGAAAGCGACCGAATAGCAAAAATTCCTATTATTGTCCAATGTTTAACTCATTTTATTATTAAAATAGAAGGATATTGCTGCATAAATTTGCTTACAGAGATATGAATGTACAGCTAGAATAAATTTGAAGTAAAATGTTAAGTCCGCACATTGCAGCAAATATTCAAGAGAATTATTTTCAAATTAGATCAGTAAGACCTCCCCCCTCCCCTTCTCCCTCCTGTTGCACCAACGTTATTAACTTTAAACGAAGTTTAAAACTCTCACTTTCTCTCTGTAAAGCCAAAAGAGAGGAAGAGATAGAGAGAGTTTTAAGCCTCACTTAAAATCAAAGTAACATTGGTGCAATCAGGCGCGCCCAAAACAAATCTTTTTGTTAATATTAGACAATTAAGACGATTAAGAAAATCTGCTACGATAGCATAAAGTATGCTGTGCCAGCAAACTTTTTTCTCCGTGCTCCATTTTTTATGTTGAGTACCACTTTCCGGTATTGACTTTATTTCAATGTCTTTTAGTTGTAAGCTAAATTAAATATGCGTAAGAAGAAAAACAATGATGATCTTTTGTAGATGACTTTTGTAGACGATTGATTTCTACCTGTAGGGACTCTTCTCGCCGATTTCGGAGCTCCACGTGAGTCTGGATGGTGGATAGGAGAGGACATCCGGCAAGCCATGGTACCACCTGCAGGCACTTTCATTGCGAGGTCGCTGACCCGCCATGTACATGCCCGCTGCGTAGACGGGTGGTCCTGGTGGACCAGCGTCCTGTTGCGAATTTATATGGCTGTTATCTAACGTGGAGATATCACCGTCATCGTGAAAAACGAGTGTCGTCGTTGGCAATCGAAAATCTCGGCCAAATAGCAGACGGAAGGCCAGGAGGGACAGTACCAACGTCGCGGGCCATATTAATAGCTTGCGAGCGAGGCTGCGCATCGCTTTCTCTGAAAGAGAGAGAAAATATGTTCAGAATCTTACTTAAAAAGTCTGATAGAATCAAATAGGAAAAAATTCTATCTGATTGAATCGTGTTTTTGGTAAATTTCAGATTATTTACCTGATATATTTGATAGATTTTCTATATTTCTCTGTCGTTTTTGTCGCACAGCTTAGATATCGTTTTTAATCTCTATCATTTCTATCTGGTCATATTTTATCATAATTAATAGTATTGTACTGTTTTAATCGTAAATTTCATATTATTTAAAGAAAAATATTTTTTATAATAATTACAGTAAAATACAGTTGTTATTTTCTATTATTCTTTTGTTCATTTATATTTTCACATGCAATTTATTAATTACAATTATGCATCGGAAATTTACAATTTTTGAAAACGCATATTGGAATTGACGGGATTCGAACCTACGGGATGATAGTTTAGCACTCTAATGATGAGCTATAATCGCACATTTATCTGGATACTTTAGCATAGTAGAGACAATGTGATTATAGAGACATTTCTGTATTAAGTTACATAGATTCTTATAAAAATTGTATCACGTTTATTATATACCTTAATTTATCGTTTTTAATCTCAAATTTTAGATTACTTGCCTGATATGTATAAATTTTCTATATTTCTCTATCATTTTCATCATATAGTTTAATTATCGTTTTTAAACAATTTCTATCTGGTCACGTTTTATAAAAATTAATAATTAATAACATCCTATCATGTTTTTGAATTGTAAATTTCAAATTACTTATCTAAAATATGTGATATATTTTCTATACTTCTGTATCATTTTCATCAGCTCAGATAATTTCAATCAATTTCTATCTGACCATGTTCAAAATTAATAATATTCTTTCGTGTTTTTGCTTTGTAAATTTTAGAACCTGAAATTTAATCTTAAATTTTAGAATCTGAATATACATATATATATACAGATATTCATGAAAAAGAATTACATTATGTATGTGTAATGTCGTATTCATTTATTGATATAATAAAAACGATAAAGAAATAAAGAAAATATGTCACATACTTTAAACGAGTCATCTGAAATTTACGATTGAAAAATATGATAGCATATTATTAATTTTAATATAATCAGATAGAAATAGATTCAAAACGGTATCTAAGCTATATGACGAAAACGATAGACAAATACAGAAAATTTATTTAATATAGCAGGTAAGTAATTTGAAATTTACGATTAAAAACGATATAATGTTTATAAGAAACTTATATATTAGGTGTACAACTTTGCTTCCGCCGTTTTTCTATAGATGGCTTTAGCGATAAGTGGTGGTCGAAATAAATAGATAAACGTCATACAATAAACTTGGGCATCTGTCATAACCCCATAGAAACATTAGTCGATTTGTATCTGCATCATAAAGTTATTCTCGATTGAAAATGTCAGTTTACGAGCCGAATTCTCGTCATTTGCGGGAGATTTTAATTTTCTGCTTCAATATGAAGAAATCTGCGGCTGAGGCTCATCGAATGCTCTCAAATACTTATGGTGAGGCCGCTATTAGTGAAAGAACGTGTCGTGAGTGGTTTCAACGCTTCAAAAACGGTGATTTTGATGTCGAAGACCGGCATAGCGGTGAAAGAAAGTTTTCAAAAATGCAGAATTGGAGACATTACTTGATCAAGACTCGTGTCAAAATCCAGAAGAATTGGCACGATCATTGGGAGTGACTCAACAAGCCATTTCAAAACGCCTCAAAGTCATGGGAATGATTCAGAAGCAAGGAAATTGGGTGCCGTACGAATTAAAGCCGAGAGATGTTGAACGGCGTTTGTTTGCTTGTGAACAGCTGCTTGAAAGGCAAAGACGGAAGGGATTTCTACATCGCATTGTGACGAAAAATGAGTTCATTACGATAACCCCAAGCAAAAAATCATGGAGAGTTCCCGGCCATGCTTCCACGTCGACGGCCAAACCGAATATTCACGGCTCCAAGGTCATGCTCTGTATTTGGTGGGATCAGCTCGGCATAGTATATTATGAGCTGTTAAAACCGACTGAAACAATCACAGGCGATCAGTATCGAACGCAATTGATGCGTTTGAGCCGAGCATTGAAAGACAAACGGCAATACAACGAAAGACACGATAAAGTAATTTTGCAGCATGACAATGCTCGACCCCATGTTGCGAAAGTGAGCAAAACATACTTGGAAACGTTGAAATGGAAAGTCCTACCCCATTCGCCGTATTCTCCAGACGTTGCTCTCTCTATCACTTGTTTCGATCAATGGCACACGGCCTGGCTGACCAGCACTTCCGGTCTTGTGAAGAAGTAAAAAATTGGAATGGATCGATTCGTGGATCGCCTTAAAAGATGACCAGTTTTTTCGACGCGGGATTCGTACGCTGCCCGAAAGATGGGAGAAAGTAGTGGCAAATCCTTTGAATCATAAACGTATAACCAGTTTTTTACATAAAGCCTCGAATTTCGGAAAAAAAACGGCGGAAGCAAAGTTGTATACCTAATAATTTAATCCAGAATGTCCCTATGTTAGAATAAGATAGATTTTATGGAAAAATTGTCGTATATATAGTTGGCAACATAATGTGACATTTAGATTATTAAATAATTAATTACTCAATGACTTAAATGAATAATTAATTATATAACAACGGTGGAATAATTTTTTTATAACACCTACCTATTTAAACATAGGAACATTTTCGGATTAAATTGTATAGATTCATCCGCATAATCGCATAAATCATCCTCACTTATTTTATATTAAATCAAATAATTATATCAAATAATTTATATCAAATAATGTGACAAAAAAGCTTGTGTGTACAGTTACTTATTCTATCTTTAAATAAGATAAGATATAAAATATAGTAATAACTGTATAGCTTTATTATGTACGCTGAAATCTGCAAAATAATTATTCAATGATCTGAAGAATGTCATATTATATTGCCAACGATAAGATACAATAATTTTTCTATAACATCTGTTTTATTCAAAATAGGGATATTTTTGGATTAAATTGTATAAGTTCATATAAACATCTTTTCGTTTATTTCTTATTAAATTAGATAATGTAGTGATCTAAATGACACATTATATTGCCAACGATTGAGTATGATAATTTTTCTATAATATCTGTCTTATTCAAACATATAGAGGTATATTAGGATTAAATTGTATTGGTTCATATAAACATTCTTTCAGTCATTTCTTATTAAATCAGATAATGTGATAGGATGTATATATAGAGAGAGAAGCTTGTGATCTCCGATTAGTATTCTATCGTTTATTTAATATAAGATATTTAATATAAGATATAAAATGATAGAAATTTATAACTTTTCCATCTGTCGTGGTTTTAACGTCCGATAGATTCTGACAAAAATTATATAGGATTCCCATCAGATTTCTATAAATTTCTACCGTTTTTTATCAAATTTTTTAAGCAGGGACTCTAATTAACTTGATGCAAAAGTAATCTTTCTGTCTACTTTATTAATCTATAAATAATCAAAGATTAAAAAACGCACGAGGCAATCAAGTTAATTCTTCTGCAATCTATTCAGTTGATATTCATTTGATAAATCTGAAATTTATCTTTCCAGAATTTAAGGAAGACGCTTGCAGCACAAGGCTAAAATCATTCTACTATATTGGCATTCGATCGTCATATTTTTACCAACATGGAACAATTTTGAAGAGTTAATAGGCATTTAGCACGCAAGTGAAGTTAAAATTGACAAGTTAGCAAGACCAGCCCATCTAAACGTACCTCGGTTGTTCCCCGATCTCCTCGTCGATCGAGAACGGTGGAACGATATTCCATATTACAAACGCAAACGGCGGGTCCTCCGAGGAACATCCGCTGTCAAACTGGCACGACATGCCGTTTGTCGAGGAGATGCAGCAGACTGCGAGGTATCGGGAATCGATGCCGCGCAAACGCGTTGGCGAATTGTGAGGATACAATACACGCGGGTGTTGAGATGCAGAGCCGTGCCATTGCAAGCGGAGCAGGAAGAATGGCGCCACTATATAATTGTACGTAAGATTTCAATCTAGATTTCGTCTTCTCGTAACTTAATGATTTTATAATGATTCTTTATTTCCACTATAATAGAACATATTTTATTTTTTCTATTTCCCTTCTTTTAACATAAGAAACAATTTTTACATTGTATATCGAGAAAATTCGAATCTACATAATACTACTAAGTAATCATAAGTCGCATCGCTTAATTGTACAGTAGAATATTCGATCAAACATTGCACAGTTTGGATAGTGTACAGATAACAAGGTCAAATGATCGATAATTCAATAAGAGAGCGTTTATAGCAGTATTTACTAGCAATATTTGGAAGATATATGTTGTAAGCGGATGATGCTTATGCGATGAGCAATAACATACTAAAAATAGTATCGGAAGAACGTATCACCCATATATTTATTATGATTTTTAATTAATCCGAGCTACAGCTGATTATCGCGTATTATTGGAGTCTGCTATAAATTGGCATATCGCGTGACGTATTATAACAACCCTACTGTGGTTGCTGTACTATCGAACGGGGGCAAGTTTTACCACGCACGCGATCACGCAGGATCCATTGGGGAAGCATGTCTAATCGAAGATAGGACACGTGTGCAATTAGTTATGGACAGAAAGTGGCGATATGGAAATCGCTTAAGATTGCCGGCCGTCATTGATTCCAAGGTCGCGTTAGCTAATTTTAGTGGTTCGCAGAAGAGATATATGTATATACATATATCATATTTCTTCCAGTCGTGCCATGGTGCAACGCGTCGAATGCATGAAGATTTCGCTTCACAGAATGCATGAGGCCAGTAGTTTCGGAAGTCTCTGAGATATCGAATCGTCGATATGTTTGTAACTCTGCCTATTTCTTTTTTTTTTTCTATATTTTGTCCATTCAATTACTATATATAATGTTGCCGTTGATTAGATAAGTATATGTTTACGAATACATAATTAAGAAGTATGTTAATAATGCAGAGATTCGTGAGTTACAGCTGTGAAATATATGATACACGTGTGGATTATCAAGTTAAACATTGCAATCATAATTTAGTATATTATGTATTCAACAGCGTAGCAATATTATTAATGGAACATAAAGCATTCTGTGCAAACCTCTCATCGATCCAACTCTTATGTACATGCTTATGAATAAGCAAAAAACTTCACATGGAATACGTAAATTAAAATTGTTATCGAGAGAAAATTTTCAAGATCGGATGGTCGGCACATGTTTATCCGCAAATGAAACACTAATATCTATATAAGTACCTGTATGATGATTGATATCTGGCACACTTTGACTGATTGAAAATAAACATGTGATATAAATATCATTGTCGTACACAAGACGGAAATATAAGATTATAACATAACATAAATTCGTTTCGCGTAAAATTATTGAGTTCAATGCTTACGCTTAAATAAAGAATTCAGCAGAGCGTATAAAGATTTCGAAATACTGAAAGAAAACTTGCTGTTTTGCGAGATGAATCAATTCAACAAGTGCTCGGGGATGTCGTTATCTATTAAAGGAAATTTCTCGGAAAGTCAATATATATATATTAAAGCGAAGGCGTGTAGCTTTTTCCTCGATGTTATGTGAAATATGTACGATTGTGTAATCACGACCGAGAGATCGTTAAACGCGATCGTTGAGTTTACAACGGCTATAGTGTGGCTCATCTTGACCTTAGCCGATGGATGTACCCCTTTTCCCGCAACCACCGACCATCGGAGGCATCGCGACACCGACTCTGACACCCCTCAGTGACGTTCCAAGCGTCGCGACGCTACCACGCGTTCCGGCATTCGTTGCTTCATCTGTACCGTGCGAACGATATGCCGTACCTTTACGATTCCCCTCGGACACCAGGAAGCGACGTCGCGTCTTCAGGAACTTAGTCCATCCACGGATCAAGACCGCGGCCCTCGTCAAAGATGCTGCACATCGTTGCATTACTGAGCTTTGCACGAGGATGATGGAGCATCGCGCGAACAAATATGAGGGGGATGACGATGACGACGTCGTTTGCGGCATCGGTAAATATTATTTCAATTTTTTTTTAAACCATGCATTTTAATTGGTAGAAATCTTTATATATATGATGCAATAGAAATGAAATATTAAAAATTAAAATAGTAGAATAAAGCAAGAAAAATGTAAACATATTATAATTTATGAATAGCTTGCAAGAAATATTTTCAAGTGATGAATATCTATTATAATATTCATGTAAACAATTTGTATAAAGATATTGAAAAAAAAAGTATATCACGTAACGTAGTAGTTAGATAGGAGGAGGTAATGTGTACTTTTTCAGCACTTACTTTGTACTTACTTAAATTATTACTAACGAAAGTTTCACACGAAATCGATTACAGCACGTTTTGCTAATACAGAGCTATTATCGTGAACTAGAAAATTCGATCTGATATTTTCTTTCGTAATTAAAAAACATTTATTCTTCAACTTAAAATACATTGTGTGACACCTTGAACTTTAAAAAAAGTTTCGATATTTCTTTGGATACTATATATAAAACTTTATAAAAAAAATGCCTTATATTATTTTTCCAATAGATGGCTTTAGTAACTTGTATCTCGTCTACGCGTGATACAGATTACTAAAGCTATCTATTGGAAAAATAATGGATTTCTTTTTGCTACACCTAATATGATTATGAGTTTTTGCTCGTATATAAATGTGTTCAAAAATAGATATTACAGATACACCTACTACGATATCTTCCGAGATTTCACCTAACTTAAAAAACGGTATAATACGGACAAAATGGACAAAGTCCGTAACTGTCCAGACCATAGAAGGTTTACCTCTACGATTAAGGATTCTGCCATCTCTCAGAGACATCGAGGAGGACAATGGAAATTCTTCGAAGGTCTCGAGATTTAGGAAATATCTGAGATTTTTAGGACGGTTGTTATTATCGCAATTGGGTACGAGCTATAAGTTTAAATTTTTACGTAGCGCTTAAGAATTTATCATTTGAAGTAATTTAATTAATTTATAATTTATCGCAGGTCTTCTTTGGTTACTTGTGATATGGATGGTGGCAGGTGCAGCGGCGTTTTGCGCAACGGAAGGACCTCGCGAGCGCGAACAGGTCGTGTCGCTGAAGAACATGCAGAAGGATTTAGCAATCGGCTTGGCGACAGAGTTGCGGCAATTACGGACGGAACAGGATCAAGATATGGAGCCATTGTGGAGCGATAAAGTCCGTCAATATGTTACCAAACATGAACAACTCCTCTTGATCGCTGTCAGTTCCGGCTATGGCGAGGGTGGTAATAGCGGACAGCTGTGGACATTTCCCGGTTGTGTATTATTCGCCATATCGTTAATTACCACTTTAGGTATGTTAATTAATTTGGACTAATTCTTAATTAATTTAGAATTAATTCTTAGATAATTATATGTAAATCTTTTCATTCTGAAAATCATACTATGTTTTATTTTTTCTTAAATATTTTTCAATTTTACAGGTTTTGGAGCACCGGTTCCACGAACAACCGCTGGTCGCACGGTAGGGGTGATTTTCGCCGCTATCGGTATTCCTGCCCATTTCCTTCTTATATTGAATTTCGGTCTTATGGTGGCTTTTCGCCTACAAAAGTACGCGCTTATCAGACAAGGCGTGCAACTCAACAGTGCAGAATCGAGTTATTCCAAACGTATGCCGAAATGGATCCAAATATTGTCATTTGTTGGCACAGGTTGGCAAAAATTTTTATCACGAATCTCTATAAAAATTCGTTTCGACTACAATTATTGCTATCCTCGTTTATATTTTATTTCTATTGTAGTCATATACTATGTTTTGGGGGTACTATGCTTCGGCATAGCGCGATCGAGACCGATCGCAGCGAGTTTGCTGTTTCCGTTAGACTTCACTGCGGCGGGCGGTCTCTCTACTATCGTCGGTTACGTACGAATACTATACGGTCTGTATTTGGAAGGCGCTGTTACTATTGCGGCGATAATGGTAGCTATATTAAGAGTATCAGCAACGCAGAGTCTTACAAACATTGGACTCAAGTATGGCCTACTGACCAAAGATTAAGATTAATATCTTTAATTTACTTAGTACTCTTCATTCTCTTCACATTTTAATTCAAGATAAAAATATGACCATCTAAGATGATGTAATTTCAAAGATATAAGATATTAAAAGAAAAAATTTTGAAAATCCTCCTCATTTTGATAAAACTTTATGTGCGTTTCAAGGATATAAAAATATTCCGAGTGGTTTTCAAAAAATACAGGGTATCAAATTTGTGAAAAAATCAAATTTTTCCTTGTATTTATCCTGTATTTTTAAAATCGTTTCAGACATAAGGTTATATGAAATTTTTGAATACAGTGTAACACAATAATCGCATCATTTTTCATTTTTTCATTTTTACATTGGTGAATATCAAGAATGTAATACTGTGTGCACCTAATGAAAAGTATCACTCCTTAAAATCTTTTAGAATACTTAAGAACCATCTGTGTATACGCAATTCATCATTATTGCGTTTATCATATATTCTGATATAATTATAATCATTATTTGTTAACGAAGTTAACGAATAGTTACAACTTATCCTTGACTTATAAATTATTTGTAATTATTTTTAACACAATTGCAAAAAAAACATTATGTAAATATGTATGTTTTAAATGTATAATTTTTATTTCGCAAAATAAAACGTGCAAGTTACATAGTTAAACTAGATGGTTAAACTATTTTTATAACCACATTTTTTTGTACAATTTACATTCAATATTTACTTGTAATGTGTGTATGTGTGTGTGTAAAAAAAAACAGATCAAAGAACCTGACAAGAAAATGTGAATTCATTTTTCACGTATATGCAAAAGGATACGTGTTGCAGAAAATTTATTTTATATACATCTCGATTAAGATGTACAAATAACAATTATATCTATCTTCATGTACACTTTATTTAAATAAGATGTAATAAAGACAAATTCTTGCTATGATACGACTGTACAGCTATACGTTACATAAGCGACATCAGACGGGCATCACTCGTAACAATTAACATGCTTGTTCAATTTGATCGAATACTAATAAGTTGTAATAATTTCATGGCCAAAAACTTTCACGATGATGCTAGTGCGAATTAGAATTTATTTATCAGTAACGACGCGAGCAGCATTTTCTAGCTCTCTACAGATTGCTTTAAACATCTTTGATTACTGGGGCACTTTTTGTCGTTGCATTCCAGTGTTAGTATCATTTTTGCTATCGATGTCCGACGTATCTTTGGTATGTACGGACTTATTATTGAGAGATTTATCTCCTGGTTCAGAAGATGAAGACTGGTTGTCGTGATTTCCTAAGTTAGATGTATTTCCTAATGCTATTCGTATAGATTCCACCAAGTGCAATGGACCTGAATAACAAAATGTATATATCGGCACATTTTTTAAAAATATCTTTTGTTAAGATATATGTAAAATTAAAACTGGTAAAATTTAATCAGGCTGTACAAGTTTAATTGGTTTTATGGATATTTTATAGTAGTAAAAATTACGGTAAATAATTCTCATCGCGTGATATTTTTATCATAAAATAATTGATTAAAAATTACAAAGAATCTATTCTTCGAAAATGTTTTGGAGTTGGGTCAGAGATAATGTACAATTAGAATTAACATTGTAATGAATTTACAACATATGTGAAAAAAAATATTGAGATTTATCCAAGTTATAATAAAGTGTACTTGTAATAAATGTATTACAGATATAAAATTATGTTCCGCCTAGTTCTACTTACAATTTATTCTTTATCCAAATATAGCTTTTTTAATTTTTGTAAGTAGACCGTCATTCTGATCATTTTGGACCTCTTGTCTCGCTTGAGTTTGCACCTTTGGATTTGCCATGCCTAGAAAAAACATTGAAGCTACTAAGGAAAGAGACTTTACTTAAAATATGTATCTTACATTGAATTAGTTACATAATAACATTTCACGCAAATTTCTGTTATCGCAAAAATTTTGTACGAGAATTTTTTCATTTCGAAAAACGTCAATGAAACGCATTTGTCATATTTTAATATGATTTTATTTAATTAGTAATAGCAGGTACACAAGGGAAAACTCAAGCGACACATAATCTAAGATACGCTAGTGCAATGGTATTTTGCAGTAGCATTAAATATTCGACGTTACAAGTACAAATATTCATATCGATAAAATAATCGAAATACATTAAAAATAATAATTTATATTTTATCATTTATTCTTACCATCTGTTTTATATGTTACACCATGTATACTACCGGGAGTATTGGTCTCAAGTTCGGCGAATGCTTGAAGCAACGCTCGCTGCTTATCCGTCAATTGTTTCGGCACAGTAATCTTTACGTTTACGTAATGATCGCCGTAACCCATCCCATCGACCTTTTTCAATCCCTTGCTGTTTAAACGGATTCGCGTGTGAGACGATGTACCTGGCATTATTTGTATAGTCTGATCTTCGTACACTCCCTCCACTCGTATTGTACCACCCAGCACTGCCTGTGACAGTGAGACTTCGGCGTCAGTATGCACATCAGGCCCGTCACGGCGGAAATATCGAGACTTCTCCACGCGGAATGTTACAAATATCTCTTTTTTGCCTATTGCCATACGGATCGTTTGACCGTCTTCTACTCCAGCTGGAACTGGCACTGTTATTTTCTTACGTTGTACCTATAAAAATGCGATATTAATTAATGCATACTATTAATCAAAGCATACTAATTAATGTAGTAATGATAGACGAAATAGATAATCAAGCGATATATGGACAAAATCAAAAAATAGTTATATACCGTTTGTCCTTTTGCGTTACATTCTGTGCAAGGGAACTTAATATGCATCTTCGTGCCTTGACAATATCGACAAGTCGAACTCATTACAAAAGGACCGGTGCTTATTGTTTCCATTCCAGTACCATTGCAATACTGGCATCTTATCGGCTTAGTTCCTAGCTCACAACGTGAACCACCACATTTCGGACAAGTGTCTATTACATTCACATTAATATCCTTATTCACGCCTCTAGCAGCTTGGGAAAAAGTTAAATTCATTATCACCTGTAATAAGAGAAGTGTTATTTATATATTGCAATAATCAGGAAATATAAAGTCACATTTGGTCACCTCTTGAGCTGCTCCAAAACCATATTTTGATTCTGAAAAGTCTTCAAAATCATTGAAGGCCCCACTTTGGAATCCGGCATCGCCGAATATTTTTCTAAACAATTCCTCGGCATTAATGGTCGATCTGTACTGCCAATGCTGATTGTAACTCTTGGTCCTTTGACCCTGACCCATTCCCATACCCATTTGCTCCGAAGTTGCTCCCCATGTATCGTATTCTTTTCTCTTAGTATCATCGCTTAATACTTCATATGCTTCAGAAACTTCTTGAAATTTCTGATTGGCATCCGGATCTCTTTTATTCGTATCAGGATGATATTTTTTAGCAAGTTGATAATATGCCTTTTTTATGTCTTTTGCTGAGGCATTCTTGGAAACACCCAGGATTTCATAATAGTTACGTTTTAACAATCTACTTGTTAGATGTATGGCTCTATGTGGCTGCACTATTCTTTCTATATCTGAAATGGATTTAGTCAATTGATTTAGATATCAATAAATCTGAAGACTTTGCTGCATGCATATAAAGAAAAATATAGATTGAATTGTCTAAATATTGAGAAATATAGAATAAATTAGGTTCTTTAATAGTTGACTTTATGCAATAGTTGACATTTGCTTAGATATTTGTCTAAATAATGACATTCGAAGAAAAAATAACTTGAACTTTCTAGAATAAACTCTCCAGTAAGCAAGAAACATCTTGGAATATTTCGACAACATTGCAACAATACTGTAATGTTGTTGGAATGTTCCAATAGGGTTCTTGCTTACTAGATAGTGTATTGAATGGATGTATAGCATGCATACCCATACACACACGCGTGCGCGCGCGCGCATCAAATCAGTAGAAAATGTTTCAACATGCACGTGTCATACAAGAAATGCGTGACGAATGAAAATTTAAACGATCTAGAATGGAAATGTCGATGTCATCGAGGAGGGCGAGATCATTGATACATCAATGAAAAGCGCCAGAAACAGAGTTTCATCGAAAAAAAAAGATAATGATGTAATCCAGAGGGACTCGAGCGTATGAGTGCAAATTACTTTTTTCACGGTTCCAGCCACCGACAGCCGATGCGACAGTCACCATGTGCCGCTGACACGTACTGCATTGCCACAAAACGCCGCGCGAGAACTTGTTCAGCTTATTATTTCCAATCAGATTGATGGTCTTCGGATGAAAAATCACGGCAAGTCCTTTGCCGGTCGCCATGTTGCGCGAGAGCGGAGAAACGCATGCGGCATGGTGAGCACAGGTTATGATCGGTTATCGCTGGTCTACTCATGAGCCCAATTTCAGAATGCGCTTACAGCGATGTAGCGCGCTAACATGCTATAATTTACGTTACGCATACTATAGCATTTCAGAGATAAAGGGTACGGTCAACGCGATGCTACAAATGCTTTGAAGCGTTTTTTAATTGGTCAGTTTGTAAAATTCTTTCTTCTAATTGGTCCATCAAATGCTTCAAAGCATTTGTAGCGAGATTTTGATCACAGTCAAAAGCGCGCTTTTGTCTCTAAAATTCTATAGTATGCGTAACGTAAATTACAGCATATTAAGCCAGTTCTACATTAGTTGCAAACCGATCGCAAGTTTGTTGTGACAGCTAATATGAAGCGTTGATTTCAAAATGCAAGCTTCAGATTAGTTGTCGCAACAAATTTGCAACTAATGAATCAGTTTTAGCACACTAACATCGCTGTAAGCGTCCTGAAAACGGGCCCATGGTAAAAGAATATAAGGTATTTCATTGCGCATAATGGCGGAAAAGTACTAGAACAACCAGAAATTTGTCCAAAATTTAGTGCTAAATTCAAATGCAGTTGGTAAAAATACATACAATACATAATTGTAAAAACAAAATTAAATTTGAAAAAATATAAAAGCTCTTAAATGGAATAATAGAGCATAAAATAAAATAATAAAATTAATGACAATAATGTTAATAAATATAATAATGTTAATAAATGTAATTTGATAAGATCGACTCAAATTTATTATTTATTATAACATGTTGTTGTTATTACTGTTTAACTGTGCTTTGCTTCTTGATCACTTCTAACCTAAATAGCAACTATGATAGCAGCCACGTTGCTTTTTACAATTTTGGACAAAATTGTGATTGGTTTAGAAGTAGTCGCCATTTTAGACTACTGCTCATCTTCGGGAACGAAATACCTTATATTCTTGTACCATGTACGGGCCTATAACTTTTTAACGATAATTTTAGCTGGCTAGGAATGTAGTTACACGTATTTTTAAGATCGCATCTGATTGGGACATTTCATTAGATATTAATAGACCAATCAAACGAAAGAACTCACTGAGCGCTCAGTGAGCGATTGTCATTCTAACTTCTGAATGCACCCAATGGCTGCGTTCAGTGTACTCAACAGTTGAGTGAGCGCTCGTTGCTATTGATATATTTTTCCAGATCTAAAATGCTGATTGGGTGATCTAAAAGAATACGTCAATAACAGCGAGCTCTCACTTAATTGTTGGATGAATCTAGAAGAATACATCAATAGTAGCGAGTGCTCACGGATCCGCAATAGTTGAATCTAAAGTCACTAGATTTTTTAAGTTTCGCAATTGATTTCAGAAATGTCGCGTCAAAATGGCCGAAGTGCACACAGTAGAGCACTATATTGGTATTCGCAACCGCCGTTTTTAGTCCCTTCCCCACTCTTGGTTCTCTCTTCAATTTTCTTAGGGTATAGTCAATGTATTGTTACAAATAGAAAGAATTTAAAGCGTTTTTTGATAAGTCAATTTGTAAAATTTTTTCTTCTAATTGGTCCATCAAACGCATTTGTAGCGAGACTTTGCGAGCTGACCACAGCCTTAGTTTATCAGCGGAGTGGAGAGAGAGAGAGAGGAGGGAGGGAGAAAGAAAGAAGGGTTGAGGAAAAAAGCAAAAGAGTGAAAAAAAAACTAAAAATGGCGGATGCGAACTCATAGTGCCTTAGCACACAATTAGTACACAATTTCAAGCATGATAATTGGTGATTCATTTTTTAAATTGTACTTACATATCTTTTCGTGCACTTTCGTGTATTAAACTTTTATAACAAATATCTGTATTAAATACCTGTATAAATTAAATAATACATAAATTAAGCATTCATACATATCTTTGGATTATAAATAAACTAATTACAATTAAAAAATATTTATGTATATACTTGACAGCTTTATTTTATCAAATAAAGTACGTATATGCAAATGCATAAATTTGAAAAGGCCATTTTACATCAAAATGGATTTGAAATATTTTAAAAATCTAGGCTACGTTCCAAAACTTTCTCTCTGAGGAAGATGCTACAGTATACGTTACATGTACTATATATTTCGAATAAAATTTTCCTCAGAGAGGAAGTTTTTGGAACATAGCTTTAGTGACTTTATTGACTTTAGTTGAGTCTACCGAACGCGATCATTGTAAAGGAAAAGATGGCTTGAGGTGCGTGTGTAGTGTGTGTTTTGATTTAACCTCATTTAATTTTAAATTTTGTTCTAGTATCTGGTTTCTGTGTTCTTTTGAATCAGTTGTAATTTTGAATGCAGAGAATATGTCGAGAATAGTTGAGTCTTTGAAAAAATTAAATGTCGAAAACGACGCGGAATTGTGCCGACAAGACAATGATAGGGTCAACAAGAAGGTCGATTTGACGCTGTCACTGGAAGAAAAAGTGTCACTCGATCAGAATGACTACATATTATCCGTCTGTGGAACCCAAAGGCAAATTTTATATTTCCTTATAAGTCTTTTATCACTGCACTTATCTTGTTTTCGCCCAAACTTTATATATATCTATACTGTTTTAATTTAAGTACAGTGTACACTAGTGAGTCGCAAAAATAGACTTTATTTAATTAGAACATTTAATGTCAAATCTGTGCAAAAGTATAACACATCTACCCTAAATATGTTTCTATTATATATATATATATATATATATATATGTGATCTAAGAAAATTAATATTTATTGTATGATCAAAACAATCCATTTTTTAAATAAATTTTGTCAATGACACAAAACTAATTTGCATTTTTTGTAATATGAAACACTATTGTATATGTTCTAATTATTTGATTACAGTAAAATATAATTTTTTGTTTAACATGTTTGTTGCATGTATGATATTTTCTATAAATGTTTTTTTAAATTTAAATTATTTATATGTTCAATAATATATATTTTCAGTTACATTTATAATATTTTTGTTTAAGACCAAAACTTTGTTATTGCCAATTTAGAGCATTTATTTATTGTTTTACACTTAGATATGATATGAAATGATCTCATTATATATTGCCTAAAATTATATGTATTAATTTTATTTTGTCATATAAACTATTGTTTGTTTGTATGTATAGTGAGCCAGAATTTAGGATTGGAGCAGCATTGTCAGATCACTCTTGCATAATATATTCTGTCGGCGAATCCTTGAATCGAATGATTACACTAGATCATAATCAATCATCTATTGTAGGAATTAAGTTCAGTCCTACTTCTAAAAATGTATTATATATCGCAACCAATGATGGATTAATTACAGCATGTGATTTGCGTGCTAAGGGAAAGGCTGTGGCAGAATTTAAAGGTAACTGTCAGCTCTAAAAATCATAAACATAAGTTTTCATCGATAAACGTTTTAAATAATTACGTCTTAACTGTTTTTGTCTTAACATTATAGATAATACAGAAAATGGCAAAATAAAGCCTTTGGCTAGCTTTGATCTTAGCTATGATGAAAGGCTCATAGTTGGTGGGACAGAGCACACGAGTGGAGATGCATTTATTCTGTTTTGGGACATAAGGCAAAGTAATTCAAAACTAGAAAATAAAAACAATCTCCTTGGTGGATATTGGGAATCGCATATGGATGATATAACTTGTCTGACCTTTCATCCTTCCAAGCGGAATGTTTTGGCATCTGGTAGTACAGATGGTTTGATGAATATATTTGACCTGACACAATCCTCAGAAGATTTGGCCTTAACTTGTTCTTTAAATACCGAATCATCAGTGGTAAGACAATCAACTTAATTCTGTACAATATATAAAGAACATCTTTTTAATCAAATAGCTTTTTTTTTTAGGACAGATTGGGTTGGTTAACTAATGATTCTCTATGGTGTACGACACATACACAAACGTTACAGTTATGGGAATGTGAAGGTGCTAGTGCATATGCAACATTTGCGCGTAATGATTTAGCTGTATCACAAGTATGCATGGTTTTTCTATCATTATCACTGTTTATCGCTTTTATTATAAAATAATTAAAGAATTCTATTTACAGAATGATGATCCTGATAATTGTTACTTGGTAAGATTCCATACCACTAATGCTTTTGGACAACCATTCGTGTTAGCGGGTTCCAGCACAGTTAAAGGGTATTAATTTGCAATATAAGTGTAATGCATTATTCAAAACAATTTTTTTCTTAGATTTATAATGACATAACATATTTTTTCAGAGAAAATCTAAGATGCTTGAATATTAAGAACAATCGTTTGGAAACATATTACGAAATTGTAGGGAATAAACAAACAGTACGGGACAGCTGGATGCATGAGAAGGTAAATTCTAAATTAAAAAATTACTTCAACTTGAATCAATAATCACCTCGTATTTTCGCAGAGTGGAAGCTTGGTGACAGTTGGTGAGAAAGGCATTGTCAATATTTGGCGACAAACGGAATCGTCGATACAGCAAAATTCAAGTCATAAGTTGTTAACTAAAATTGGAACTGACCGTGATCGGCATCACAGAACTAAACCCTATTAAAATAAACATTTAGGAAAAAATATTAATGCGGAAAAGTAATTGTATCATAGTGGAATTGGAACAATGAACAAAGTGTCATAATTGTATATTTCCCTCACATTCTTCTTTATTACAATAACAGTTGTATGTACATTTATAATAAATAGGTATTATTTGTTTATGCGATTATTCAACGGCGAGTCATATATCGATTAAAAAAATGTAGCCACGGGTTTCGTGGTATAAATGCTAAGGAATGTAAATCACATGTAATTGTGGATACATTGAATTAATGGACATGGAAGAAAAGAATAAGACAAACCGTAGGAGTCGCACGCGACTTGTAAGGAAACGATTTCCTTTTACCACAGCAAGATTAGAATTAATAAAACAGACGACATTGGCAATCGTCATAGAGAAAGTTTGTATCAAGCAATTAGTACTCGTGATAGAGGATAGTCAACCAAATAATGATAACAATTGATAGTCGTTTACAGTCTCTGCGTTTGAAAATCATCAAAATTCAAGGAGACTCCTATCGCCAATCTATGAGCGTATCAATAACCAAACACACGCCCGCTTATTACACATTATGTAATATTACAATTAACGATTCAAAAGACGATCGCAGTAGCGAGTATCACAATGATAACAGTAGATATAGTTTTAGAGCGAAACGGTAGTATAGGTACAGAGTAAACGTACAAAAATACTTCCCATGAGCATCGGGGACGTAAAGATTCACTAAAACGTGGAAAACCGCGTTACTATAACTTCATATATATATAATATTTCTTTATATATCATCTTTATAGATATATATCCTTTCTCAAACATTGCGACGCCACGTGACGTTATATTAGAAAAAAAAAAAAAGATACAAAACGCCACGAAACGCGCGTAGGCCGTCGCGCTATTCCTCAGCTATCGCCGATTTGATTCTTCGCGTGTTATTGGGATATCCGCGAGATTGTGTGCGACTTCATTTATTTATTACAGATATATCAGTCGATGGAGACAGAAAATTGCGGCACTTCATTGATCGTACACTACGACATCAACTTGCTGATTGTTCCATTGCATCATGTCTTTTAGAATACAAGCAACCTACAAGCGTACAGAAAGATTGTTTTCTCCAAAAAGGATTAATCCTTTTTAGTTTTCTCGAGTCGATATAAAATTTCAATTTTTTTACAACTTTTTTTATCCGGCTAGTCACGCTGTAGATAGTACATCATCTATATGCGTATATATATATATATGCGCTGAAGTCGAACACTCATCCGCGGAGGACGCTATAACAGCTACAATCACCTCGCGTAAAATATCACCTCGCGAGCTTGTCACACGCTCGGTATTGCAGTAGATAGTAAACAATAGTAGTAGATTTGTAATACAGTCGCTTATGTTATTTTTTTACTTTTTTCCCTTTTTCCCTCACATAACTCAACATATGTATCTTACGGAATACTTTTTTAAGATCTATTGTCACCGTGATTGATTGAGACGAACTTGTATAGTATTATTAGATTATTACTTAAGTTTCCTTAACGAGGCTAATTCATTAGACTCTTCTTTGTCCACTGTGCCTCAACAGCCCTTTGTCTTGCAATCCGATCATATTGCACGTCAGTCTTTATATGCTAAAGAATGTACATTATGACTAACCATTTATCGAGTTTAGAAATTCATAATTTAGAATCATATTAACAATTACATTTCAATACAATATATTACATATAACACGTTTGTCGCACAACTGTCCTTTCCATTTTCGAATCTGAATCCGAAAGAATGTTCGACGCATTGTCGTAACGACTTTTTTCTAAGATATGCTAAATATTATATATACTAGCTTTCTGTGCTATTACAGAATGAATCGGTAACCCAACGTGCAGTATGATCGTACTAGGATTTAAAAAAATCCTCATTTTCCATTCAATACTCAAGAACTTTTTCTTTCGTTGATCATAAGTGTGACGTACAAATAAAATATATTAGATACAATGCATGAGATGCAAAATCGTGAAAACCGACGCGAATTCTTGCAACGAGCGGGATGAAAGTTCGTTACGATTCTCGTGTAACGGACCCTCTCGCTTTCGCGTACTGTTTCATGTGGGTTCGCACGAGCTTTCATCATTTCGATCTTACATAATGCAATAAATAAGATAGATTGTAGACAATAATATGAGAAGAAAAAACAATAATGGCAGTGAATAATCCCGAAACGAAATGTCAAATATGAAATCCTTCCATTACAATTCATTCGTGGGAAAGAATCGCGGGTGTATCGCATACGACTTATATTCGTGAAGAACAGAATGTGTAAAGCAAATGTTTTGGGAACTGAAATGTCATCGATTTTGACCAGTGGCTTGGCACATATACTGATAAAATGACGATAATTCATAATTGTTAATGATAAGTATCCTATCTGTCTTTAGCATGTATTAAAATATTGCAATAGTTACGATATAAGAATAACTATCGCGGATTCGCTCTATCATTCATAATAGAGATTCGTTCGTACGTTTACATAGGCTAGATATGTAATGCACGAGAGTCGCATCATTTACGCACGCACGCGCACAAACATAGACACACGATTTACTTTTTCATTCATGCCCAATTGTGCTCTCTCTCTCTCTCTCTCTCTCTCACACACACACACCGCGCGCACGCACACACGTATACACGCACACACGTACACATGCACATACGTATGCTTATGAAAAAGTATATATATGTATACACATTCTTTGAAATATCTCTCTCTCTCTCTCTCTCTCTCTCTCTCTCTCTCTCTCTACCTTGCATTTCAGCAAGCGCAGCAACATGTTTGTTTAAAAGATTAATCTAAAATCTTGTTTCTAAAACTGTCAGTCGGCTTGATAACATAACGAGCAAGAATTCAACAAGATCGGCTGATTTACTTTGCTAAGCCGGCCGTTAATATTCTTTTCTCTTTCTTTCTCTTTTTTCTTTTTTTTTTACTTCAATCACTTCTAATAAAAATTGCATTCTTAATTTATTTTTAAATAAAATTTTTTCTTCAAAATTTTATTCTTAATATATTCCTCTCATCAAGGTAATAGAATTTCGCGAGATTTGGCATAAAAATGATTATTGCCGTCAGTTATAGCAGTTGGAACGTAATAAAGTATTACATCTCTTTCGTCTCCCAGCTATATCGAAACTAACTACTCGCATTTATTGACGATAGTGTTATTGTGTGGACAAGATGGAGTATCGTATTACGTTACGATTTTGTGAAATAGCCTTAAGTGCATTCTTGTAAGACTATCAAACCTGTAGTGAGGAAAGATTGAGCGATAGAAGAAAATGCGAAATAGTAGGAGAAACATACGACGTCGAAAATCAGAAAGATTTAACGCGGCTGCGAGACTGTTGGCTGCTCCTCGACTGATTGCGCGGTGACGGAGCCGGTGTTAAAGTCGGTGTAGTCGTGCCGGTAGTGGCGGCACTGGCGCGCGATGAACGAGACGAATGTTTGCGACCGAATCGAAAGAATCGTCAGAAGAAGATCACCTCCTCCTCTGGCGGTGGTTGCTGCTGCTGCTGCTGTTGTTGTTGCGATTGCGGCTCCGTACTTCGCTGCTGCTGCTGCTGCTGCTGTTGTGCCTGCTGATGTACGTACGGAGTGTCGGGCGGTGAGCGAGTAATGCGAAGTGAGCGATTCGACAAATGTGTATGATTTCCGCCAATTCCATGATGATGGCTGTTTCCAAGCTCTGGTGACGAATAGGCAGACGATCCGGTGACGATCGCAGGACTGCTGCCTGCCCTGGAGTGTCGATCCGGACTATTATTGCTCGTAGTACTACCGCTTCTGTCGATCATAGATACGACAAAACATAAGATTATTACTTGTCAACTAAAAGATAAACGTTTGCGATGTTTAGAGTAGAATGAGCTAGTTCTACCTTGTGTTATTGTTACTTCCACTGGCAAGTTTCAGTGGTAACTGTTGCTTAACCGGCAAATTACTCTGTACTTTCTGCTGATTCGTCGCGCTAATCAGATTTAGAGGGATGCGTTTAGCTTCGGGTTGTGCTTTATTACGTGCGCTTTGCATTTCGGCGTTTTGCGTTACGTGAGATAGGTGAATCATTGTCGAGCCGGTTGTGGAACTTCCGACCAGCGTTACGCCCTGTCGCTCCAATGCTTCGAGTCGTCGATACAACTGATCCCGTTGTTGCGTTACATCCCGCTGGTCCGCAGCCAATTGCTCTCTTTGTCGCGTCAATTCAGTTCGTTCCTCCTCCAACTGAGTCTTCTCCTGTTGAGATGCAGCACGAAACGCTGCTTTTTCCCGGCAAAGCTGATCCTGCAAGTTCCGAAGTTCTTCCAATTGACGATTCGGATTCGGTCGGCTATTGGATGGTTTGCCCTCTTTACAAGCAGCCAATTGTGCTTGCAGGCTATCGATCGTTGTCATTTGATTACTTATTATACAGAGTAATGTATAAACATGATGAGACAAACGTATTGCCGCCCATTGCTGATCCTTGTTTGTCTCCAATTCTTGACCGCCTTTCTCGTCGGTATTTTCTTTGGGTAACTCACACAGCTTCGGAACGGGAATTACGGTATGTGTCGTGTTCGAATCACGTGGATATCTTTCCTAAAAATCAAATATTATTTTATACGATTATTTGACATTTAATTGTTCGTTTATACGTACTTTATTATGATCAAAACCGGCAAATGTTTCGGCCCTTCGAGGAACGCAAAGAGCTGGTGGAATGTAAGCTTCACTGTGGCGTTCGCCGGCGGAACTCAAGCTTCGTGACAGAGTAGCGCCGCCCGCGCTGAACGACAACGAGCTAGCGAGACGTGTCGCTTCTTGCACGGCCACGACCACCTGTATCCAATATAAAATTTAATTTTATTAATCCGCTGATTTATAAATTAAGAATCCACAATAATTTAATTTATAAATAATATTCATTGGATGAGATGATATTAATTGGATGATGACTAACTTCTTGCCATAATTGAGTAGTATCAGTTCCTTCATTGTGTACCAACCGGGTATAATCGGCACCTTCTTTCTCAGGCTTCTCAATTCTCTCGTTATCGCTTTCGTTCCCGCTCCAAACATTCGCCGCTTGTAAGAGTCGCATTTGCAAGTTCATCTTCTCTTCAAACAGTAGCGCTTGCTCTGCATCTTTCTTTCGCAATTCGCCTGAGACAACACAATTGTTTATTTGAATACATTAGAAAAAGCAAAACGATATTAGAAGTTACGAAAACGTTGAAAAGAGCTAAAAGAACATACCGACGATTCTAAGTATATGTGATTCCTTAATCTTAGCAATACGTTGCTTCTCTTCACTGGAGACTAGCGAAATCGAGGAGGCGCGAGTATCTCGCAATTCATTATTATTTTCAGTCAGCGTGTCGGTTTCGTTTTCGGGATCTTGTGGGCAAGCCTCGACCGCCGACCGAATAGCCTGTATCCATAATTGTTTGTCCTTTGGCTTCTGAATCTTTAGTTCGAACATTTCTGGTTCGGCTGGGTTACTGCTTATTAAATAAATGCTAGATTCTTGACGAGCCTTCTCGCGAACCAGCAGTTTCTGCAATGATACTATACCCGCTTTATTGTCAGGCACGAAGAACGCGTATTTCTGATCTCTCTCAGCCAAGAAAAACAATATGTCTGAGAGAACGACCACTACAATGGCAGTCATTTTGCCACGACCTTGCATTAAGTATGCAGTGCCCTCGAACTTCAGAATTCTATTAATTATATCCGACTTCTTGAATTTAGTACCACGATACGTCGCGAATGACTTCGCGTCGATCCTATAAAAACATTAATATTTATAGTAATATCTTTCGAAAAATTAACCACGCAGGAAATAAAGAATAATCAAAAGAAAAAAAAAGTCGAAACTTACTTATTGTATATTTCTAATTTTCTATCTTCTCGCTCTTTGTCGGCTACACAAGCATCTACATCAGCTAAAATCTCTTTAACAAGGATCAGTGCTTTACGTAAATCTTCACTTTCCTCTTGTGCAATACCAGTTTTAATGAGCGGCTCGATCAGCAACGGATACTTCGTCAAACGTTGAGTAACGAAAAGTATGCATTCAGGTATACCTTTCTTTTTCAACAAAGGATTCGTCTAAGGATATAAATTATTTCATTTAATAAATCGAACCATTTGAATCTACATTGGTCATTTGGTAGTTATTCATTACTAAAACTTACCTGACAGTGACGAACGAAACGGGCGAAGCGAGGATCGTTACGCAAGTAATACTTGTACACTTCGACAGCGTCCCGATGACGACTGCAAAATTCTCCATACGCACTTTTCATGCGTTGCGCATTGTCGTTCGAGAATTGCTCAACTAGAATGTCGGCGATCGTAGAAACCACGGGATTAGCACTCTGCCGTTTTTGCAGCAACCGCAGAAACCGCAGATGGATATCGATCAAATCCCGTAGTCGGGGAAACATGCGCTTGAGATCTGGCTGGCCCAGACGAAAATGTCGTCGCAATCCCTCCGCGAAGATCTTCTCCATGGCGAGCAACACCAAACAATGATGTTTCTCCGTGAGCACGAATTCGTATATATGTTCCTGTCTCTTCACTTCGCGGTCGCAATGATCGACGAGACGTAATGCGATATTACGTCCGATCGCGGAGCTCCAAGAATCGGGCTCCTCCTTTCCCAATGTCAGCTCAGGATCTAATTCCTCGAGATCTGCCACCGTGAACTGATGAGCATCGTCCCCAAAGTCAAATTCTTCCCATCCACTGAAATAAGTCACTTTATTTAATTTTTTGTTTACGGCGTTACGATATACATAGTATGTCTATCTTGATTAAAAGCGGATTCAACTTTATTACAATATCTAAGAAAAAAAGAAAAGAGAAAAGATACATTTACAAACCTCAGAAGATCACGATGTTGCCCGCTCTCGGCATCTTTTTCTTCGTTTATCGTTTGACTGAAAGAAAGATATAGCTTTGTTTCATAAAGCACAATTTATGATTAATAAAGAAAAGTTTTATTCTCCCTTAAACAAGGCACACAATGTTAAGATTGAACTTCAGCTTGAAAGACTCTTGAAATTAATGTACTGAGATGCCGGCCTTTTAAAAAGACTGCGGATTATGATGTGTTTTAAAATATTTAAAAATTTTAGTATTTTCTCAGCATCTTTTCTATACAAACCTTGCAGACGATATTATATATCTTCATTTAAGCATATATGAATCTTCATCTAATTCTCATTACGTAATCAATGTCGTTCGTTGCAATGCATGGCCAATAAAACTAGCGGTCTAATTGTAAGATAAATTCAGAAAGATAAAAAATCTTTGATATTAATATATAGCAAAAAGCCATTCGCAGATGAGCACTAATCTGCAAGAGTCGGAAACTCCGAGTTCAGGTCGGGTGGTACATGCGTCATAGATGCAACCACTTGTTTTCTCTCCGCTCCTATTGTGTCCTAACTTAACTTTACTTAAACTTTTCCAAGCAATCAAGAACACGGAATCACGCTATATGAGGCATTACGGGAGACTCGAAGAACAGCACCCGTTTTATATTTTTGTTAAATCTTAATCCAGACCCGACCCAAAACTTTACAAATTACGAGAATATGATTGTCTATGATGAGAATTCGGATACGAAATCTCGTGACACATTGAGAAACGAAGGTGGGAACGACAAGAGAAAGAAACGTGACAAACTATCGTTGAAAGGGCGGAGGTGTAAAGTAGAAAGGAGAGATAGAAATTGGTAACATGTCATGAACATGTATCTACTGTGATAATATATTGTTCGATGTGTAATTACTTGTGGAAAAATTACCTTACGGATTAATGCTCGCGACTTACGCGCTACAATTTAGGCGAAGATTACAATGACAAGAGGTAACACATATTATTGAATGGGCACAAATCATAGAAGCAAGCACAAGATCAGAAGCATAGGCAGGGCAAGATGATGTCTCTTCCAGGTAAATAAGACAAGACGGCAGAAGTCGATTGCCGTTGCTGGACAATATGCATGTATGTGTATGTGTGTATACATGTGTGCGAGAAAAAAATCGAGAAACGAGAAACGCGCGTCTTTCCTAGACGCGTTGTAAAGCTGGATCCAGATTAAGCAAAAGATTGCGAACAAATGTGAATAAATAACTTGTTTCAATGAATGCGAATGCTACATGAAAGCAAGTTGTTGATTCGTGTTTGTTTGCACTCATTTACTTGGTCCAAATTCAGCTTGAGATACACGAACAGAAACGAACGCTTTCGACAGAATACAAGAGGAACACATCAGATATCAGAGACTTACTTGACTCCAAGTTTAGTGGCGACTCGCCGCCAAGGGCTGTAGCTTGACACGGTTTTCTTGTGGCTGTTAATTTCCCTTTAATCGTCGTACAATCGATCAGTTTGCACGTGGTTGCACGAGAGGGAATGCACGGGAGAAGGAAAAAGCACATACTGCATTAGGGCAACTTCATTTCGCCTATTAAACCGTTTTTTCTTCATTTCCATGTTTCTTGCTAATTCTTTTCTTATGCTTTTTGATTTTACGCGTCGATACCTATCTTTAACAAATCGTTCCCACACGCAAGAATTTCTGTTCATTAATAAATATACAATCCTTTTTTTCTTTTTAAATCGACGTAATGTAATTAAAATTTAAAATCAAATGACTCTTGGAGTTACGTCAATGAGTTTGATAACTTTTTATTATCACGCAATTATCGACAGTATCAGCTGCTAGTATTATCTTTGTAGCTTGTGTACTTATGTAATAATAGCAAACCGAAAGCTAGCTGAGGTAGTATCTGAGCATAGTATATTCTGTATAAAGTAATACATAATATATGTAAAAAAACAATATTATATCAAGATGTAGCGGCGCGATGCTGAACGCGCTAAAGCTTGCCGTACTATTGATGTTGCTAAACTGCGAAATTAACCAGAAATAATAAGCTTCTGAGCCAGCCAAAGCCTCGGAGTAATAAACAGATGCACAAATTTTATTTGGTTTAAGATTTTCCCCATCTCGTTTTATACTATTTATATGTATTAAATATAAAATTTTTTTAATTGATAAATTATCGAATCTTCTTTCTTATTCTCTAAATATCTAAATATGAAGTGAGTAAATTCTAATCCATCAATAATTGCCAATTAAATTAAACAGTGATATGAGTTATTCATTAATCATTTCATATAGTTAAAAAAAGTTCGTTATAAACTCCGAGTTTCAGCCCAGCCATGCTATTTGCGTGCGAATCTTGAACCACAGATACGCAGATCCAATGCAAAAAAAAATGTATAATCTTTATCGGTATAAGTTTATTACCTTCCGCTCCCGGATGAGGCTGGTAGCGGTAGCGACGTCGTAGAACCCCGTTTGTTGACACTGCTGTTACTCGAGATGGAAACATTGGATAAAGACTTTGTTGCAAATTTGCCAGAGTGATGCTTAGATTTGATGCACTCCAACACTACTTGATCCTTACATCCCTGACTTTGATGAACCGACGTTCCGCAATCTGATTTTATAAAAATTAAGTAAAATATAATTAAAAAAAAATTAATTATAACATTTACGGCAATTGTGAGTTATTTAATTTACGGCATTGTGCGTTATTTAATTTAATATAACGGTTTTCTTACTGTCGCAATGAAGGAGAGGTTTATTTGTCGAATGTTTCATACAAACATCACATAAGCTTCCCTGAGTTCCTACCGTTACCCACAGATGCTGTTGACTAGTCTTCTTTCCGCTTTTATCCTGAAATAAGATTTCAGCATGGTTCATCGGAAAAGTTCTTTATCAGATAATATCAGATAATCTTTATCAAATAATCTTTTTTTTTTAGATTTACCTTCTTTTTGCGGAAGAAAATAGAACCGCGCTTTCTTCTTGTCTTTTCGGAATGATGATCGTCATATGCAGTACTACTGAAAAATTAATATATATATATATATATATATACATTATAAACCAACGTTGTTCAATTTACAATCTAAAATAAATATTTTAAATTGCATTTTGTAGATGATTAGCAATGCACTATAGAAGCGTTTCGATCTGGTCATAGCTTATTGTGAGATAAAGGTACGTTCTGGTGTAATTTCTGTGTGCAGAGCTAAAAATGTGTTGCATGCACAATCATGTGACATAGTAATTTTCGTTGTTATATATTTCGATAATTTTTGTGTTTAGTGAGTCTTAAGTAACATTAAACTGCCTATACATATTTTAATTAATATCTAAAGAGAAATTTATTTCAAATAAATGTATGTGAGTCCATCTTTAGTTTGCAGTTGTAATGTAACTACAGACTATTTTTGGTTACAAAATCAATCGATTGGTAAACCGGTACAAACCATTCCCATCAGAGACATTAAAAGGTTTTCGAAGTATCATAAATAATTCGGTTAAATATGAAGAACTTAAGGCATCAGAGTACTCACTCAGTCAAAAGCTCGTCAAGGGATATCTGGACATTCGGAGTTCCTTCTCTATCTTCATGGAATTCGTGGCTGTGTGATGTATGAAGATCTTCGGTTTCTGTCTCACTCCCGCTACCCTTTTCGTTTCTTTCATGACGGCTGTTTCATGCAGGATTGTAGCAAATTTTCAAGTACAAACACAAACTAAGCAACTATTGTGTATAATGAATAATTGTAGTTCGGATATTCTCAGATGATCCGATGCACATCGATAATATTTGAAATAATAAACTGCTCGCGATTAGAAAAACAGTTATATTGGCATAAGTAATCGATAAAATATATATAAAATTAAGCTTTTAAATCAATAGCAGATGTGCACTGTTATTATTACTACTTTTGTCCCATATAAAATAAAAGACGCAAGATATTAATTGTATTCGTCATCAATAACTAATAATGTAAGCCACAATATTCTTTGGGCAAAATATATATCAAACTATATGAATGGCTATTATAAGATTATTATTTTAATATGACTTTTTCTTTCTATTGTATATTTTATATGACTTGCAATACAATAATACGCGAGCAGTCGTAAGATAAGTTAAAAGATCTAATGTAGAATGTTTCAGGCATCTATAAATATAAATATCTCTGAGATTTATTCTACTACTTATAAGTGTTCATGCATGAGTACGTCTGCGTCTGCATTTTCAAAATGAGTTTCTACTTGTGCGAAAGATTGAAAAATCGACAAGATATAAATATATACGTTTGAAAGTGTACATGCATGGGTATTTACACACACATGAATGTACACGGCATAAAAATATATATATATATATATATATGTGTGTGTGCATAGCTTTTTGTGTGCTAATTAATAATGAGATCGCAAGCTAGATAACGACTATTTGAAAGTGGCGTTTCTATATAAAAGACAATAGAACATATAAGTCTATTTCTTCATTATCGTTGATCTAGCTATGTGATCTCCATTCATGATTCGTAATGGACTTACGCTGCAAGTGAAGGTGTTGTCCGAGTTCCGGTTTCAGTTAAATGCGCGTGAACCTGCGGTGTAACAATCGAGGGCGTCGATATGGATTTCTGAAGAGGTAAACGCGAACAAGTCAGTCCTGGCATTAAACTGCTACTTTCTGCTAATCTCTGACTACTCCTTTTTGTGACTATCTTCTGATATTCGTTCTGTCAAAGAAAAATTTGGTATGTAGTAATTCTTTGTTTCCGCGTGCATATCGAAAAGAGAAATCATCTTTCGAAGAATCTCGAAAATTACCTGTACAAGATCAGCTTCGTTCAATGAGTGCGTGCTCGTTTGCGACCTGCATGCTCGATTGCTTACGCCTACAGGTCCGGTACATGATTTTCCATCTAATTCCATCTCGTTTTCGCTGTCTAGGCTACTTAAACTAATGCTGCGTTGTCGCTGAAATGAGTAAACGAATACGTCGTGATTGCGTGTTAAGCGATGGCTTCGGCAAGAAGCGCAATATGCAAGACAACAAAGCAACTAAAATCATGCTACCATCGTAAGGCGAAAAAAAAGTATGATTATGATCGGGCATCTGAGACCGATATAATTTCGACGAGTTCAGATTTCGATGTTACAGACATGAGATAATTTCTATATTCTTAATAATGGGAATACAATAATATTTTTGGCGAGCATCAAAATTCACAGCATCAAAATATGAATTCAGCATCGAAATTGAATCGTGCTCTGGTTTTAACAAGTAACGGGCAATATTAACCATATTTTGGGCCTGCAGATGATTTTGTCCGGAGGAATATCGGCGTCGGCCGTGTCGGTTCTCCTCTAGATCTCCCAGATCTCCAGTCCAGCTGCGTCTTCTATCTATACCTTGCGCCTGTTGCGACCGGACATGACCACCTGCTGAGGGGAAATGCGTTGGGGAGCTGTTTGTGGAGCAATTACCGAGGACAAGATCAGGATCAGAACCAGTGTCGTGATGATGATGATTGCCGGATCGAGACGCGAGCTCAGCCGAAGTCAGCGGACATAGGGATGGGCAGGAGGAGGACAATCTTTGTGGAGCGTTGTTGGAGGTATATCTTAATGTCAATTCTCGCATACGCTGGATGCAATCGTGTATTTCGTGCAGTTGCTGCAAATTCTCCTCTGCAAGAAGAATATTTAAAGAATTGAACGTTTATTAATGTTTTAATTTCTTCTAATACAAAAAGATAAATATAGTAGGCTAATGAGAGTCAGCAACAATAAACGGCGCAATTATTTAATAAACAATCAATAATCAGATATTGAATTGATGTCTTCTTTATTTTAAATGTTTCGACTCTCTTTAGAGTCCTTCTCAGCAAGAATAATACAAGTATAATTAGCTCACATGTCCATAATGCTTAAGTCACTCGCAAATTGACAAAGATGCAGCGTTGTTAATCTGACATTTAAAAAAAAATCTTATTAGAGTGATAGATGTATACAATTTAAATGCCTTACCATCACGGAACATAAAGCATTGTACTAAAGCTTTGTTGAACATATTAAAACTTAAAAGGAGAGTCAAAATAAAGAAAACATCAATCCAATATCTGATTATTGATTGTTCACTAAATAATTGCGCCGTTATATCGTTGCTGACTCTCATTAGCTTACTATATTTATCTTTTTGTATTGTTTAAAATTCGAGAGTTCTAATATAATTATTGTATTATTAATTTCTTCTCTTATGTTTTAACTTTTTTATAATTTTGACGTTCTTTTAATTTAAATTTTATAAATATACATCTTGATATTTATATTTATATTCTCTTATATAAATTTGAATATTGCGTGAATCATCATGCATTAGAAAATAAAATAAGAACTGTATATAAATTGGTATCTTCAATCTTCAAATTCAATTACGTGAAATGAAAGCCAATTACCTAGGACCGGATAATTCTTGGCCACACCGGGCGAATGCGGCGTAACGCTAATGATGGGCACTAGAGGATTAGGCTGGGCTTGTATAATATTAGTGCCGAGTGCGAGTAACGGGTGTTGCTGCTGCTGTTGCTGCTGCTGCTGCTGTTGGTGGTGGTGCTGTTGTTCATCGCCGCCCTCAGACATGGTGATCGGCGCTTTATCGGTATTGTCTTTGGTGCTGTAGCCGGTATCCGTAATTATGCCGCCGTGCAAACTCAGGCCGCGTAAATCCCCATTAATGATAGGCAGCACGCGATCGCAGTCGGAGTGCGATGAGCCAAGGTAATCGGTTATTACATCCTCCTCGCTATCCTCGCCGCTGTTCGGACACTCGTCTGTCAACATGTTATACAATTGTCGCGTCTATGTTACAATAATTATTGACAAATCGAACATCGGCATCATCATTATCACCGCTTCATTCCCATACAGCACAGACTCCAAGAAACATCCTAAAAATGTCCAAAGGCTTAAGGACGTACTCAGAGTGTCTTTTGGATAAAGTGTATGTATGTGTGTGAGTTCCTTCATTAATTCAACGTCATGTTACAAGCAGAATTCTACATTATCAAATACCTTGCTCTATTTAAATTATAGCTGTGTGCGACGAGAGATGAGAGACAGAAAGTGACATGTTTTTCATAGTTTAATAGCAAAAACTAACAGTGATGGGGAGATGCGGGTAAAGAAGTTTACTAGCGGTGTCCTCACGCGGCGTATACTATATACATAATACAGAAAGTCGAGAGTTGGAGTCGGAGGGAGTTCGGAAGCGCGATACCGGAAAACCGATACCGAAACGTCCTCTTCGCGCCGCCTCTCTATTGACTCGAGGGACTGGGAACAAACGGCGACTCCGCGACAATCACACCGGCCCCCGCGACGGCCTCATCTCAGACTCCACTCCGTTCTCGAAATATCGCATAAAGGCATATTCAATGGAAATCAGGTCAGATTGTGTTGTCCGCCGGCAATAATTCGCATCTGCGTTTTCCACTTAAGTACACGAACGGGATAACGTAACGGCGTCCAGAAGGAGGACTGTCTCGATTCCTACAATGTGTCCGTTGGGACGAGTTCTTCGACTGATAACATCGTCAAGTACGTTAAGGTCAAACCGGATTCCAAATCGGGCACCACGAACGCAAGTTGAATTTTAAGGATCTCATGATCTCACAGCGACGCTTGGAAATGAAAGTCGAAGCGGACGAAGGATGACAAAGAAATCTTTTCTTGTTCAGACAGGGTATCAGACAATTCTCCAGAGTCCAGATCGAATAGTATGCGATCGCGGTTAAAATATTCGTGAGAAACTAAATCAGAGAATCGTAACTCCATATGTAACTTTACGTTGTGGTAAAGCTAACTAAGACTATTAACTGGTCCGATTTGAGCTACCACGATTCTCAATCCCGACGCGAGCAGGATCCACGCTGTAATTTCTGTGACGTTAATTACTGTGCCGATGTCTTTTACGTGCGATCGTCCGCGTTGAATTTCTCACGAATCTAATCGAGACATCATCACGCAGCTCGCGTGTGATTTGATCCAATTTGAGTTTTTCCTCTTCGCGATGGATTTATCATTGTCCTTGGCGAATGGGACGGGCGCGAGAAGCGCACGAAATAGCGTACCGTAGCCGAACACTTTTCCGGGTAGAAAGGGGCTGACAGACTGTTGCTTTTCCCTCTGTGTAGCTCCCGGAGCGAGAATTGATCCAGTGGTCCGCGCGCACCACTCCGCTGCCTCCGCTACACCCCCGCGACCCTGTAATCCGCCATCACCACCGCCAACCTTCAACTCGCTTTTCCTCCACCACCGCTATTACCACCGCCGCCGCGCTGCTCGCGCCATCGACATCAGCACTCTGTGTTTGTTAGATTTGTATCTTTCCACCCTGAGCGTGTCACCAAGTAGCTCAATATGAATCTTTAGTTACCAGCTACCTTCAGATACACTTCCCACACAACTTTTCACACGGTTCTGCGGATAATCTTCTATTCTCGGACAATTTTTCTGGCCGTCTTCTTTTTTGGGAACTGTTGAGAATTTAAAACACCGAGTGTCTTTATAAGCAATGATAATTTCATCAATATTGCTATAACTTTGATTTAAATTGGCTTCTAATTTTCTAAAAATGAAGCTAGAAAGAGATGAAAAATTATTATAACTAAATGAAAATCGTGATGAATTGATTATTAATAAAACAATGAATTATATACATAATAGACATAATTAGAGAATGTTTTTTGCGTTTTCTATTTATAATATAAATCTAAATTTATTAGAGTTCACCAATCTTCAATTGCGTATAAATTAAGTCACATAAAAACCAATGTTTTAATAAAATGCAATTTTGTATTGAAAACTTTTATACTATCTCTTTGAAATATCATATAAATATATACCATAAAAAATTATTATGTACCTACTACTATTTAATAATCGAAAACTATTTATTTATCAGTTTAGATATTCTTTTTCAACAACTTTTTATATCTATTAGAAAACTGATATAGCTAATACCAAATATTTTAATTAAGCTTTTTTCATTTTGTAGCTCCTTTTAAACATCTTTTAAGTAACTAAGCTTTATACATATTAAGATTGCATTAAAATAAAATCTCTACTTAAAATGAATATTTCGTATTAATTATTCAAGCTCTACATTTATGTATGCGCTTCTAGCAACGCAATAAAATACTTTAATTTACTTTTCAACAATTTTTTTCGTTTGTTTTACTATTACATCTCCAATGTGGCCATCTTGCCTTTTCAGTTTTCAATCAATCATTTTATTACGGAAGGGTTTCATTATAGCAGTAATCAGCGTTACAAACAACAACTCTTCGACGGTATCGGTTACCAGGGGGATGTCACAGAGAGACATGATTGTGTTGCTCCAGCTGGCATTTGAATGTAGGCCGCAGTGACTCCGAGTCGATATTATCGGCGTTATTAAATATTCCGGCGGTATAATGATTTTCACTGAAGTAGCCCGTAACGATCGTTCCTTCATTGTGTGTGAGAATATTCGATACAGCGATACTTATGTTGGTCTGCACGTGGAAACCTTACGGCACTCAACGATAATTATTTTGTGGGTGACGATGTACGGAATTGCTCACTATAAATAAGAAATAACGGCGCATGGATTTCCGCGCTTCCGGAGACAGTTTCGGCATCTCCTGGCTTTCAAGTGGCATCACAATGTTCGCATTCCTCCGTTTTCCGTTTCTATTCTTTTCTTCGTAAAAGCGTGCGACAGCACGTAATCGATCGCGCTGCGGAAAAACTAACTGTATTATACTTTGATTACGTTGAACGTCAAGCGCAAAATTGATATTATTGCCATTATCAGATACTCACGGAGTTGAATTTTCGTTTAACAGGTTATCACTGTAAACGCATTACCACGCCATTTAACGTTAATCTTGTTTTAACGAGGCTAAACGCCGATGAGAATTCGCAAATTAGATCTCTCAGCAGGATGCTGACTTTGCTCAGACGTGCCAAAGCATAATATGAATACAATTTTAACAAACTAAACTTTTTATTACAGTTGTTTAAACAATCCCTAAAATATTTTCAAAAAATATAAAAGCATGCTGATTAGTGATGTATGAACATAATTATACTTAATGACACTCTGGTATAAAATTGTTTTTTTCAATTTAGTTTTTCTTAATTTGTTTTTCTTCATTATTTTAATATATGTCTTCCCTAAATATTTATCATGAGATAAAAAAATAACAAAATATGTGTGTTTCATACATTTTAAAGTATAACTTCTCTCTCTCTCTCTCTCTCTCTCTCTCTCTCTCTCTCTCTTCACTATACATGGTATTGATTACCTCAAGAATATTCTTTTGTTTCTGTCCAACATAAATAGCAATGATAGATACATATATGTATATGTACCACACAAGACACATCAAGTTTACTGGTACGTAAAATGCATCTCACTCCAATACACATTATGATGTTCCTTCTTTTTATATTTATGTATGCAACGTTCATTATAATACTCATATAATAAAATCTTTGTCAATTTATTTTCTAAAACAAAATAATTAATACTTCTTTTCCTATTTTATTTATATTCAATAATATTTATTTATTCCTTGGTAAGAGACGTTTTAACAAAAGACGTATTTTAAAACTATGATTATGTAATCACTAGATTATCCTTATCAGTGTTTAAAATGTAAATCGCTAGAATTTTAAGATAATAAAGTAAATATTTTTTTCCCCATATGTAAAACTTCAAACATCTTATTCTTGAAAAATATCACAAACGAAAATACTAGGAAAATATATAATATATGTAATGTATGGTAGTTTCCTCAATATTTTCGTACACTTTCATATTTCATGAGATATTTTTCAAGAATTCAGGGGAAACATTCTAACTTTTTGACACACACACACACACACACACACACAGAGTCAATTTCTCTCTCTTATTCTCCGGAAATATTTGATATTAAAATGATACATTTCAACATGTTTTGATCATGCATTGTATGTAAGTCAATAAACGAGGCATATAAGGTATAAATACACGCCGCGTACCTACGCTGCACTTACGCCTACACAACAAACACCCATCCACACATCCTCTTATGACAGACAGAGAGAAAGCCGAGAGACGACTCACCGGAGGAAAACGGGGCGAGCACCTCCTGCCGCTTCTCCATCGTTTGTCACGTCCCTTTCGAGCGTATTTTCGGGCGGCCGTACCTCGCACTTCTCAAAGACTGCACGGACTGCAACAGTCGAAAAGAAACGGTTTAAGAAACGCGTACGACGAGCAGGCCGAGATCGAGACGCGACGTGACGGGCGCTCCGTCGCGTCGGAGCGCCGTGGAAATCCGTGAATTCTCCTCTTCCGTGTTCTCTATTTCTCTCGCGATCGCAGATAGAGATTCAAGTACCGCTTGCGAATTTAAAAAAATAATATAATAACGAGAAAAGAAAGAAAGCCCGAGCCGCGGGCCGCGAGGAGAAATTCACTTACGGACGCCCGTCCATGCGCGTGCGCGCGCGCGCACTTTGTGCGCGCCAGGTAGATCGTTGACAGGTGGATCGTGATCCACCGTCGATGAATCGATCGCGCGTCCCGACTCCCACGCGATTCCCATTTCCCGTACCCGCGGGATACGTACCCAAGTACACGTATCCTTTATCCCACGATAGCCATTTAGCAGCGTCCCCGAGACCGGGGTGCGTCTCTGTCTCACGGCGGGGCTCGTAACTCGTTCAGTGATGCGGGGTAACACAGTCTCGCTGGTTTCGCGTCGGCAGGCCTACCGTTAGCGACACCGACACGGTCAAAGGCACGTCGGCCATCTTGTACTCAGTACTGGATCGCCATCGCAGTGCCGTATCGCGTCACTGGCGTCACCAGCGTCACTGGCGTCACCGCTGTCCAGTGTCCAGTCCTGTCCTGTCGATCGCCTGTACTGCTGATATCGCTTCACATTGTGAAGCTCTGACGGCGAGGAAGGAATAAGAGAAATTTTAAAGTCAACAAAAAGTCAAAGTTCACGTACTCTTTGAAACTTTTAGAGCGAATCTCACTCTGGAGATCAATTGTGTATCTTGGAATAAGATGAAAATTACAAAAGTGAGTAAAATTCACTAAAGGTGGTTCACTTTAAGACCGTCTTAAGTCTTAAGTGTCTTATAATACAGTCCTTTGATTGGCTTATGACTTCTTAAGATTTAAGACAGCCTCAAATGTAAGAATCGATTCTAGCCTGTAGATATATTGATATAATTTTTATCTTGTTACAAGATACATATTGTAATCGATCCTATGAGAAAATTATTATGAATTGAAAAAAATTAATTAAAAAAATTGGAAAAAATATGGTTTGTATATTATTATGTATTATTATGTAGAATAAGATGATATAGATAGTATTAAATATTATTCATAATGATTGAAAATTGGCAACTTATTGCATTTTATTTTTTATTTTATTTTTGAACTGTCACCAATTATCTAAAAAAATAAAGAAGAGTTTTACGCTGTCGTATCTCATTGTATATCGAAAAAATCGATTAAAAATTGCAGTAGACAACAGCAAGCAAAACAATGGCAAAATGCATTTTGTAATTAAATAATTTGTCTGTGATAACGAAATATTTATAAAACTTATTTTTATCTTAATATGTACTGAAATTTTAGAAAATTAATGTTGTAGGAGAATAAAAAATTTACACTTAAAGTTGTTTCGTGATTTATTGTATATATCTTTCTTATTTGAATTAGCCTGAATTTTGTAGTAATTGGTTCCGCCATTGTTATCTTAAGCTTGATTTAGCCAATAGGTGCGAATCACTACGGTGATGGCCAGACTCTGATTAGAGGGTCTCTGGAATTAACTAGCTGGCAGCACTGCGATCGCCCGACTCTAATCGGATCGGAGGCATCGGAGAACAACTCTACATTACACGCATATGTCGTGGTCGCTCTGGTGTAATACTGCAATTGTATCGTATCAATTGTGTTAAAGATCGAGGTGGTATTTTGCCGCGTTTCCGAGTGTTTCCAAGTGAGGATCTGCATCTCGATCGACAGCTTTATCGAAATGACACGTAGATATCAAGCGCGATAGCTTGTAACTTTGTTCCACGCTTTCTCTATGTGAGTATTATCGTAACGATTCCTCCTCGTGCTAGTTTAGTGGTTAAAATCCTTCATCATTGACGTCTCCCTGTCGGGCGTTCCTGAACGTGTCGGCCTCCGAAGTACGCTTTCGCAACGCGTTGATTAATAACGATTATATCAGTTTCTTTCGCGTAGCATATTTCGTTTGTATGATTTCGTTCGATTTTGTGAAATTTATTCGAAGATATCACTAGCATAAACTGAACCATAGAGCATTGAGATTGTAAAGAAAGAAGGGAGAAAGAAATAGTGTGTGTGTGCGTATATGAGAGTGTTTGCATGTGTGTGTGTGTGTGTGTGTGTGTGTGTGTGTGTGAGAGTGAATGAGAGAAAAAAGAAAGAATGTGTATTTTATTATCACATGCATACAGTACGCACGTGAAACTCGCTTTTTGTTCGGGCTTCACCGGTTTTATTCATAAATTGATTGATTCTGTGTGTACTATGATATTTTTCTGGTTGTTTGTAATTTATTATTCGAGTACTGTTACATATGGTAAGAATTAAACTGGATCGTTGTATCATATTGTCGTAGATGTCGTACCTCGTGATTTCTCATAGTTTCAGTTAAGCGCAAATGTTAAATTTGTATTTTGATACCAATATTATCTCCAGAAGGCTTCATTTTGTAAGCAATGATACATCCAATAATATTTTTCCTTGTGTAATTGATATTGTATGTACCCGACAGAGACTTAATAAGACATCTCATTAAAATTCAATTTTTTTATATATAATTTTATTAATTTATCGAGTCATGTTTCAAAGTGTTAAACTCAGAATTAATTTGCTTTAATAATAATAATAATAATAATTTATCCCCTGTTTAACCTTTAGAGGACAAGTATTTTTAAAATCTTACAACTTTTACAACATTTTTTAAAAGTTTATAGCTTGAGTAAGATTTACTATAATGCATTACTTTGTTATATTTTTGCTTTAAAATATAACATTGTTTTAGCATCACTGTAATGGCTTTTGCCATTCTGCAAAGATCAATAAAGTATTCTTTATAATTGTGATTATTTTAAGATTATTCATTAATATTCAATTATAAAATAAAATTAATTTTTACTAGTTTTTTAATATTTATATAACTAATATTTATATAATTTATTGTTGTAGAGTATTCATTGCTACGGTACCAATTTGTCAATCATTGTACAATCATGTCGTATCCTGGTCAGCCACCTATGGGTATCCCTGGGATGCCTGGGATACCTTCGATGCCATATATGAATGCACCTCCACCGATTATAACAGGAGTTATGCCTATGGCCCATGTAAGTAAACTTATCACATTCAGGCATGATAGATGTGTTTTTGATTATCTATAATGTACATTTTATTCATTCACACATGAGTTAAAACTAATTTGTGTGTAGTAATTTTTGCTTTTGCTATAGCTGAAAAATTTCTTTTAATATTGTAATCTGATGTATGTGACAACATCAACACAATACACAACACAACACGCATATATAATGAAATTATGAAAGTAGTATTGATTAATACATATGGTTGTATTCTACATGTAAAGCACGCATATATACATTATTATTTATATTACTGATACATACAATATGTCAGGAATAAATTGCATCATAGATTAGTTTCAAGTGTTCAGAAACAAACATCTTTTAAATGAATTTACAAGCAGCTTTGTGTGCAATATATATGTATACAAAGGGAAAAGTTGTTGCTTTCTTTAAATTTATTTAATGCATGTAATACGCAGAGCGGAATGAATAACTTGATATTTTGTAGCGATGCTTAAGCTAATTGAAAAGGAGAAAATCAATTAATCATGCAATTAGAGAGGGAGGGGAAATACGGAGTGCATGAGTAGATATGTGCATAATTAAGAATCCTACCATTTATAAAACATAGATGATTCCATCACCCGTATCTGCGATGCAGACATCCGCGCCGGCTGTACGTTACTCGCGAAATCAGAATCGCCACGATAATAATCGAAGACGCGAGAGAGAGTCTGGTCCACCTGTCACAGTATTTATTGGTAACATAATGGACAGAGCGCCCGATGTGATGATACGACATATTCTGGGCGCGTGTGGGCATGTTCTTTCTTGGAAGAGAGTACAAGCATTCGGTTTTTGCGAATATGCAGGCCCTGATGCAGGCCTCAGGGCAGTTCGATTGCTCCATGACATGGAAATAGGCACAAAAAAACTCGTTGTCAAAGTGGATGCTAAAGCTAAGGTAGTCCTGGATCAATTCAAAGGTGAGTTTTCGGTAGATAAAGAAAAATAAAAAATAGAGATTTGATAAAACAAATTGACGTTCGCTTTATAGCCGAACGAAGGAAGAAACTCAGAGGAGGTCAGTCACCTTTACAAGACGAAACGCCCTGTGAAGGAGGTGATGGCGAAGAGGGTGAAGATTATATGGATGAAGGCATGAGAGTGGTCGACGCAGATGCACTCACACGCATTAATCAAATCATTGCTGAACATGCTGCAGATCTAGAAATGGCACAAGTTGCTCCAGGTAAATATTCATTCACTTAGTTCCTGTAAATCTTATTAAATAGGACGTGAATTTCTTACTGTATGTGTGTTGTCACAGAGGAACATCAAACAAAAATGGTAGCTAAATCCTTAAATTTGGATGAAACGGAAATAGAAGAAAGTAAAAGAGACTTGATTACTCGGGAAATTGGCAAATTCAGGGAGGTTATGAAGGTAATTATTATTATTACGAGTACTTGTAAATCTTTTTTTAAGTCCTGTCTTTCATTTTTCTTTTTGCAATTATAAAAAGTTTATCGCGTTAGATAATAAAAGCAATAAAAGACGGAATTTTTATCTCTTAAAAATGCTGAAAATTTTTTGTATTGAAAAAATTAATGTTTACATCTAACACTTGGTGTCCATGAAGCATTATAAACATATCTTTTTACAATTGATCGCATTACTATAAAATAATGGAAATTCAACGGAAGTAGTTCATTTCAGAAGCAACAAGGTCAGATAAAGATTTGCGATTTAATCGCTATTCATATATTAGCGATAATATGTAAAATGTGTATCCATATATTTCTCTTTGAGTATTTTACATCATTTTACTTTTGTTTTTTTTTTTTTTATTATCTTGATATAAAGCTTTGAAAAAACTTTCATCTTTTATTTTCAGAATAAGTATATGTTTGTAATACTTTGTGTTATTGTTAATTGTTATCTTTCACACGTTTATTTTTTACACATTTATCAATTCATTCATAAGTTTATAACGTTTGAATATGTTAATGATGCCTATCGGATATAATTTGCGTACAATAAATTTTCACAAAGCTTAAGAGTATTGAATGTACAAAAGATATCGTTACGTTACATCGTGTTGATTCAGATTAAATCAGAGGCGTGTGCGTGTGTGCGTGCGCGCGTGTGTGTGTGTGCGTGCGCGCGTGTGGTGTGTAGTATATGTATGTGTGTATGTGTGTGTATCACACATACACATATATGTATATATACACATATACACACACGCACTGAGACACTACCGTGTCCCCAAAGAGAGAGAGAGAGAGACACACACACACACACACGCACGCCCACGCACGCACACACACACACGTACAAACACACACACACACCACACAAACACAACACTACACGAAATCTATGAATTTGCTATACACGAAAAAAAAAAGAATTCATCTTTT